ATTAAATTAATTTTTATTTAAATAAATAATACACCAAAGAACATAAAATAATAACATACAAAAAGCAGACAATTTCCACTAATTCCCGAAAATTTCCCAGCTTTCTAACTTTGCGACAAGAGCCATTACAAATTCATCCAAGCTAGTCGTTAGCTTTCCCATGGGAATGGAGCTTGTACTATGAGTGAGATTGACATATTTTCTGTTCAGAACACAATGTTAAACAATATGACATTTGATAGATGAAAACCTTGACTTTCTATTGGCTATAGATAATATATAATTAAATGTAGGAGAGAACTATTCACAAATTTTGAAAGAGAGGATGTGACAGGTGGGTGTGGCCGAAGGGGGTCTGACTTCCCATGTGATAGCTCTGTAACCAAACAAAATTGAAGAAAAAAAAATTATGGTTTGTCTGAGGAATGACGATTTTATAATGAGTAATTTGTGTTTAATTTTGTAGTTAGTGGAGGGGTGGTGGATAAAATAGAGAAGAGAAGATACCTAGAGAAAATGTGTTACATGTGTCACACTAGGAGAAACTCAGGATTTTTTTAAATATTGCCTCATGGAATTAAGAACTTCAAACTTATATACTATTAAAATATGGATTATTAGCTAAGATTTTATGTTATACTAATTGCTTTAACATAAACAAAAAGTAGTTTAATACAATTTTGAATGTAAGACACTAAAACCTTGTGTCAAACGCAGTAAAGAATACCCATGGTGACAGGGTTAATCTGACTTTTTTAGAAATATTCTTAGTATGTTAGAACATAAGATTATTGTAATGTACCCCATAATCATTACTCAAGTATGGTTATCCAAAGGAAGGTCTTATCTCATGCTCTCAATGACTTACAAACAGTTTTCTATTTCTTAATTTATACATTAGTCACTTTCAATTAAACTTTTAACATTAATTTATACTACAGCAAAAAGTGAAAAAATAAATATATAAGCACACATTGACTTAAATATATGAAAGATTTGCTCAATAATTTTTTACACATTCATAATCTTTTCAAATGTGAGTAATTTACATTAAGTACAGTATATTTAAATTTTGGATAACTGTGTAACATAATTGTACCTTTTTTAACAAAAGAAAATGAGTTCTGTTCTTCAGAAATTAACAAATACTTGATATAAGCTAATTCTGGATCACTTATCATGAAATTTAAATACTAATTGAAGTGAAAAAAAATAAAGAGTTAATCTAGAGAATTTTTATAGTATTTAGCTCTGACAATAAGGCCTCTATTAAACCTCCGAAACACTACGAAATCAGAAAAATTTCAAAATGAGAATGGTTGCAGAGAAGAGAAAACTAACCTGTAGTTCACTTGTAAGATTATTATGTGAATTTAAACTTCTGTTGGGGGAAATTACATTTGAAAAACCTAAAGGACTGTGAATTGTTTTTATGGAATCATTTTCCAAGTTCATATTGAAAAAAGATGATCCAGATTTCACATGGGACAGATGAAAACCAAGTCTGAAAAAAGAAATTCATTAAAACAAAGATAAACTTTAATAAATATTCATGTGATGAAAAATTTTAAGCAGCTTAGCTCTAAAATAATGTAAACATATTTACCATATATTAATTCCTGAAAATTCAGGAATAATAACATTTAATTTTATGAATTTGTTTGCATGGCACATTAATCTCATTAATATAGCAAAACACACTATAAACCTAACAGGTCAAAATTTCAATTTTATTGTAAATAACAAACAATATGTACCCTAAAACTAACATATATGTTCTACAATACATATATATATATATCTTTTTTTTTCTTCAAAATCCACTATGTGCAACTCTAACCTACTTTTAATAAAGATATTTAAGTACAACTTATTTATTTATGGGTTCTTTTGCAGTGAAACTGAAAACATTAAATACATGATTATCACCTTTGTTTGTTTGACAAATTTTCCAATCTATCACTTCCCAAAAGAATTTTCGTCCTTTCCAAGTAGTCCATGTGAGTTTTAAAAAGCTGAAAAATTAAAATAGCTGTTCTTCTTACATAAAATATTTAATTTTTAGGAAATTAACTTATGTAAAAATTGTCTCAACCTTTAAATAATGCAGATTTTTAATCATTATCAATCTTGATATTTTAATAAATTTCTACAATAGATCTAGGTTATGATATCTTTCTATACTAAACAACAGCACCGAGATTTTTCATATCTATATAGTTTTAAATATTTAAATTAAAAATTATCTATGTTTTAAATTTAATAACTTCAAGCTATATTTTAAAAGTATTTATAAATCATGGGTACCTCTACAAAATATTATTTTTTTAATATCTTACACATTTTAAATTAAGGTTTTACTCACAAAGACACAGTATTGAACATAGTAAAAAATAAAACCTTGCCTTACCTATATAAATCTCTCATGTAATTCTGAGTGTTCTTTTCACTTACATCTATCTTCTAACCTAATTTCTCCTTGCCTCTGTATATCTCTCATGTAATCCTGAGTATTTTTTCATTTATATTTATCTTCTAATCTAACTTCTCCTTACCTCTGTATATCTCTCGTGTAATTTTGAGTATTCTTTCTTCATTTCATTTTCTTTATCTTCTAATCTAACAGCTAAGAAATACATTTTTCTTCAGTAAAAAAATTCTATCACTTTTAATCAAAGATTCTACTCTCAAACACATTTTGAAGTTATTTCTTTATAATAGTTCTATACGATACACACGCACAACTTCCTTTACTTCATGGAGCAGAACCATATATTCAATGCCATTTTTGACAGCTACTGTGCATGATTTCTTCAATTTTCACATTTATGGACAAAATGTGTAATCATTTCAATATTATTTATGCTAAAATTTTTTATGTGAAAAAAGCCATTAAGTGAAAAGAGACTCCAGAACCGTGGCTTCAACCCAGGACCTCTGGCTAACAGGGCCACTGCTATACCACTTAGCTATCCAAGAGTTCGAGCCATCTGAGTCTCTTTTCACCCATAATTGCTTGACTACATCTCATAGGCCTAAAACTTTGAGTTTAGTGCAGCAGTTACTCAATGAATGCATATATCTGGATACATATCAGGCCACTTTATTCAGTATGTAATAGACAATACTGACTTTAGAGTGCACTGCAGGAGTCACTCGATGAACAAACACACCCAGATACATACCAAGGTACTACTTAGTATGTAGCAGATAATACTGTGAGAGCTTTGGATGGAATGAGTACTTCATTACTTGGGTATAATTGCAGCTGAAACTTAGATTCATTAACCTGTACCAAAGATATTGGTGACAGCAGAAAACAACTCTGTAGTGGGTATTACATTCATTTCTACAAACCACAGCTTGAGATCATGAACACCTTCACTTACACTAAGTAGTCTCTTATAACAAAAAAGGCCAGATATGCAGTCTTGACCTTTTTTTTTTTTGGAAAATGTCATGGCTCTTGCACTGCCAGAGGCCTTCTTGAAATGATGTAAATGGTTTACCAAGGGTCTTACACAGATCAGCCATCATTGTATTTTCTTCTGATGGTTAACATGAGTTCTAGAGATGATAGCTTTATTTACTCCACACTGGTGTTTCTATCTTTACAGGCCAAACATTATGATATTACATCAGCTATTACGTATGTTAAGCCATTGTGGTGGAAAGCTCTGAAAATACAGCTAAGGTAACCAGCTAAGAGGTCTTCATATTGAAATAAGCTTTCTTGAGTACATTGGATATTGTATAGCAGGGTCTGAATTTTTAGAGTTTCTTGACGTCATCTATACTGACAATGCAATGATACACATGCTAAGTGGTAAAGCGAAGGTTATCTATGTTGACAATGCAGTGATACACGTGCCATATGGTAAAGCGAAGGTTATCTATGTTGACAATGCAGTGATACACATGCCATATGGTAAAGCGAAGGTTATCTATGTTGACAATGCAGTGATACACGTGCCATATGGTAAAGCGAAGGTTATCTATGTTGACAATGCAGTGATACACGTGCCATATGGTAAAGCGAAGGTCACCTATGCTGGCAATGCAGTGATAAGTGATACATGTCCAGTAATAAAGCAATTGTGAGAGCTGTACTGGATAATACAATGACAGAATCAAAAGTATTTGATATCCCTCATCCACAACAACAGACTGATACATTACAGAGAAAAGATTATGATGACTAGCTGAAACAGTAGTGGAATTAGAAAAGATTCATTACAAAACTTTTGGATACTACAAAAAGTAAAGAAACTGAAAAGGCCAGTGTAAATGTAAGAGATTATAGAGTATTCTATTGAGGAGCAAATAAGAGTATGTGATGGAAGAGGCTGTAATTGATACTGAGAAAGAGAGAGGAATTGAAACTGTAAAATATTAAGCAGAGACCATTTAGAAAATGACAGAGAGTTAATTAAACACAGCAAAATGGATAGATTGTGATATTAATGCAGCAGATGGCCAGTGAAATAGACATCAATGATGTATGTACTGTAGTGGTTTAGATCAGGGAACAGAGAAAAATCAAACAAGCAATCTATGAGTCAGCTACAGACAACAAAACCCTGGATGCAATATATGTAGACAGTGGACATTTTACAAAACTTTATTCAAGCAGAGTGAACAGGAAATTGGTTGTTTCACATTCAGTCTGTATTTGATATGTTGCCATAGTTTGCTGCGTCGGGGCACAATGTGTATTCTAAATCCATTCATTTTTACTTACTTTAAAAAAATGTCTGGACCTGAAGAGCAAAACCCTGATGTGAGCAGGATGAATATCATGTTATGATCATAAGTGACAGATACTGAGTTGGACAGTCATTAGATCTCATTACAAAAAGTGAGAAATCTTGAGATGGACAGTCAGCAGACTTCATTAGATGGAGTGACAGTACTGAACTGGACAGTGATTACACCTCACTACAAGATCATGGGCTGGACAGTCATCAAACCTCATTAGAAATGACAGATTTTGGACAAAACTATCATGAGACCTCTTTAAAAGAAATTACATATCATGGGTAGTACTGTTACCAAACCTAATAAGAATATGTGACTCAATTCTATGTGGTATATACGAGATCTGAGATAGTTTAAACAGTGGTCATTACAGTATTTACATTAACTGGTAAATACAGGTTAGAGACTTTTTTAAAAGCTAGTTGTCTGGCAGGGATGGACATTGTTGATCAGTTCGATGTTGATAAAATCCATCTTTTCCAAGATTTGTGTACCAACGTGTGAATAAGATACCTGGCTGTAGGCTCCTTCTATTTTACTGACAACGAATAATATTATGAAGGTAATGATGTTGATTGTAGTGGTTCTAAATTATTGTACTGTCATTTCAGAAAATTTAGAGCTAGACACATTTTTATAGTAAAGTATGTATCAAGAAAAGTGTATTTTATGAAAGATATTTTTGGAAAGAAATCGAAATGCCATGGGTGACATTTTACTTTTAGACTGTAAGTTACACATTTAAAACAGATGTTGTTTTATAAGCAGAAACTATGCCTTATATAATTAGTTCTGAATCCAAACAGCAACATTATACAATTACATTCCTGTCCATAGTTCAGTTCACAGCTTTCAGAGAAAATAACCAATTACTGGCAATAAAGATGTTATGATGCTCTGCCATTCCTCCACAGGAGGCTGATAGCAAATGATCCAAAGTCATTTGTTAAAATGAAATTTTAGCAAAACTATAGTACAAATTACAGTAAAATGAATTATATTCATGTGGCTTGAATGAATTCTATGTGGTAAAAATGAATAAAAACCCTATAACCCGAGCGCTTTGAAAGGCGGACCTTTCTTCTTCAGGGCAAACTGAAGAAGAAAGGTCCACCTTTTCGAAAGTGCTTGGGTTATAGGGTTTTTATTAATTTCTATCAAGACTTCTTAAACCTACATGTTTTTCTAACATCATAAATTCTATGTGGTAAATATAGCTGTATATGGAAACAATTAATAAAATAACCAAAATAAATTGAATGACTTTCTCCTTTAATTAATATGTACATGTTTATTGGTTTATTAAGAGTTAAGAGTAAACAGGTGTCAGGCAATGATTGTTTGATTTGTGTGATGACAAGTAAAATCATTATTAGCCATTGGTTGTCACCAGCAGTGGTTTTTTTTCTAGCAGAAAGGCTACATTACACATAATTCCTTGCAGTATAAATGGGTTACACACATACAAATTCATGGTCTAAAGACCCAATACATCTGTTTTTATTACCTATTACTGTATCCAAAGTGACTCTTTACAACTACCAATAATAATATCAAAATGACCTTTGTGTATAATATATGCATTTATACATATATATGTATTTTATTTAACAAGTTACTGCTTGAAATAAACAAAAACAGCCATTACTCTTTTAATACATGAGAATGCTCAATGTAAAAATAGTGATGTAACAGAGTAAAAAGGGTTGCTATTAATTTATTGGAATAATTGGTAATAAATAAATTCATGTATTTGCACCTTTCAGACAACAAAGTTATTACAAAAGTTACGGGTTATGATCAAAAATCTATATGGATACTAACTTGACAAAATCAACATTAATACATAAAGGAAACTGACAGATAAAGCATCTAATTCTGAAGTCACTTAATCTGTTTGCTATAAAAACTAAACTTACCATGATCTGACACATTTTTTGACTTCAATTCTAACATTCTAACAATAGATTCTAAGCTTTCTATCTTCTCCATTTGTTCTCGACGATCATCATCTAATGAACATTCACATTCAAGAAGCTTCTAGTAAAAAATAAAACAAGTTTGTTAGCATGGCTAGAGAATAATGTAAAAAATCATCCTGTGCTATTGGTGTCACAAGTTTATTAGCTTGACTAGAGAAAAATGTAAAGAAATCATAGGATGATTTCTTTATGTTGCTCTCTAACCATGCTAATAAACTCGTGACACCAATAGCATAGGATGATTTCTTTACATTGTTCTCTAACCATGCTAATAAACTTGTGACACCAATAGCATAGGATAACCATGCTAATAAACTTGTGACACCAATAGCAGGATGATTTCTTTACATTGTTCTCTTTTCTTTACGTTGTTCTCTAACCATGCTAATAAACTTGTGACACCAATAGCATTCATCCTATGCTATTGGTGTCACAAGTTTATTAGCATGGTTAGAGATCAATGTTAAAGAAATCATCCTATGCTATTGGTGTCACAAGTTTATTAGCATGGTTAGAGATCAATGTAAAGAAATCATCCTGTGCTATTGGTGTCACAAGTTTATTAGCATGGTTAGAGAGCAACGTAAAGAAATCATCCTATGCTATTGGTGTCACAAGTTTATTAGCATGGTTAGAAATCAATGTAAAGAAATCATCCTATGCTATTGGTGTCACAAGTTTATTAGCATGGTTAGAGAACAACGTAAAGAAATCATCCTATGCTATTGGTGTCACAAGTTTATTAGCATGGTTAGAGATCAATGTTAAGAAATCATCCTATGCTATTGGTGTCACAAGTTTATTAGCATGGTTAGAGAACAACGTAAAGAAATCATCCTGTGCTATTGGTGTCACAAGTTTATT